ATTAATATTAACAAATAAACTTCTTACTTATATATTACTTTATCTGTAATTAACCCTAATAGATCTAGAAGATAAAAGTTGAAATACTGACCTAAATGATCATGAATTTATGTTTACTCATGATTATCTAGCCGCTACAAAAGCAAAAAGTTTATTAGAAGATCAAGTAATTCAAGATAAAGATAACAATATTAGAGATACATTATCTAAGCATGATGATGATAACGATACAGATTATAAAGAAATTTCTGAAACTAAAGCAACAAAATTATCACCTTGCATTATTGTTGATAATTTAAATAGTGCAATTGGGCATTGCAATTCAATGGTTTTTCTAAAATCACTAGTACAATTAGTTAGTACATGTGAAGTAGAATTGACTCCAGATGAATCTTTAAACTTAGCTAAGTTAGAAATCTATTCTAATCATTTTAACTTTGATCATGAACAACTTCATTCGTTTGGTACTAAACAATTAAGACATTATACTAAAGGTGTAGTTAATAAAAAAAAATATTTACTATGCAATAAATATAAAATGTTTTTTAGTAGAGAAAATGATTGTGTAGACTATTATTAGAATGTATGTAGAAGAGATGTTCAAGTCCCATGTCTTAGTTTAAAATCTTGTCTTGTATTTTGAATAATTCTAAAGATTGTCATGAAATTTATTATTGGTGATAGATATGTTAGATATATCTATGCAAAATGTTTCAAAAAACATGGTCGACATCTTCATAAACATTTAGGACCTGAAAGGTCTCAAATATGTGTTGAGAATAACCTGTATACAGAAGATACTAACTATATTTTAAAGCTTTTTTCGTCTTAGTTATTTAACCTCTTATATTCTCAAAATGAGAATAAAAAAGAAGAAGTATTGCAGTATCTTATAAAATTATTAGAAAACCTAGAATTATCATCTTCAACTTCAATAGATACAGATTTTAATTTATCTAGCCCATTGCTTGTAAAAATTGCTATGAAAATTAATAGGTTTAATGATTACTTGTCTACAGATAAAAAACTTATAAAAGTAGAAGAAAGCTATCAATTTGAAGAAATGTTAGAAAAAACAATATGTAATTCATGTAAAGATATTGAAAAAAATTGTAATAAGTTAGAAAATTCATTCTAATTAGATAAATATTATAATAGTTTTCCTTTGATTCTTACTAGCTTTTTTAATAGATTAATCGAATCTATTAAAAAATAAAAATATGAAGTAAGAAATAAGAAAAATAAACAATGTAGAAAAAAGGAAACTGAATTTAATACAGCTTCTCTATAAAAAATTATATTGTTTCTTGTGTCTATTATTCTAACAACAGCTTTTCGTTTATAGAAGATATAGCTTACCTATACCATGGCTTCTTTATATAAAAATTCTAAATTAATATCTTCTCTGCAAGTTATATTACATGTAGTACATATTACATCCTATATTTGAAAATATGAAACAAGATTAGAAAAAGAACGTATAAGTAAGTCTAATCCTTTGACAAGATTAATTAAAGATCCAAATATATAGAATATTGTGGTGATTGATAATATTGACTTCAAGGATATTGTTTTTAAGTATAGGAATATATATAACATTATATAGTAGTTTTCACATGCTACTCTAAGAATGATATTTCAATTTGAACTTTCATTTGACTTATCATCTCTTACTCAAGAAAATCTACAATTTTAAAAAAATTTATTTGGTTAATCGGTATTTATATCAGAATGGAATAAAAAATTTGATATAATAGTAAAACAATTAATAAATAAATATAATAAAGATTTTGGAGTTAAAAAAATTAATGCTGAAATTCTTACTATTGTTGAATCAGGATGCCAAATAAACTTACCAAATATCATTATATTAGAGCCTAGATCAGAATCTAATAGTAATGAATCTGTATTTAAGTCAATTGATATGTATTTAGAAGATCTTAGACAAAATGTTGTTGATTTAGCATGCGATGCAGCTATTTTTGCAAGAACAAAAATATATACAAATAATAACTTAACTTGTAGATTTATCCTTAGATAATAGTATACTTCGAAAGCTATATGCAGTACTTTGATTGCAGGATTTAGTGAATACAGTCTTTATAGCATAGTAGTAAAGCTTAGTATCTGATTTCTTAACAAGCTAGAGCAAAATGTAAACTATTGTGCAACTTGTAAAATATTAGAATTAATACACACTGCTATTGGAATAGCAATTTATATTCATTTAAATAATAACAATATACCATCAGATATAGAAGCTATATTTAAAGAAGATAATAATATTTTAAAAGTATAGTTTTAAGGTCTAGCGATCTAGTGTAGTGAATAGGTTGTCAGACTGCTATGCAATAGGTTTGGAGTTCAAATCCTTCTGTCGATACTTTGAATAATTACTCAAACC